CTCAGAGTTGAAGATAAACTCACCTGATGAAAACTTTTCAAACCTATCCGAAGGTCTCTAATAGCTTTAAGATGGTTAATAGCCAATTTCTGAAAGTGATTAGAAAGTGAGGTTTACAAACTTGGTGTCATTTAAAAGGCTCTGCCATGTTGCGAGCAAGATGGCTGATCCTGTTATCTCTTGGTGCTCAATCCCACACAGAAAACCGTTGACCTGCGGTCTCCTTACATGGAGCAGCCATCTGGAGCACACGTGGGCAATATCCCATCCTCTCCTTATGCAGAAAGTTTCCAAGGGACCAGTCTACTCACTGGTTCCTTGGTCTTTGCTGCAGCTGTTGGCTCTGTTCTTGCAGAGCAGTCTTCAGTTTGCCATATCTCCCCCGGAAGTCCCACTCCCTAGGTCCCTAGTTGACCTTGGCTGATCCTGAAAGGCTAAATAGGATTGGGTTAGTAAATGGAGAGTCACCTCAGGAAACAAGAGCTGTAGGCTAGATTCAGAAGTTGACAACAATCCTAGAAGAAGACAATGGCAAACCATTTTTGTATTATGGCCAAAAAAACTACATGGACATTTCATAAAGTCATCAGGAGTTGAGCTTAATTAGAAGGACATCATTAAAAAATTACATTTGTTTCTGTTTACTGAAATGTATTTGATTGTAGCAGCAGTGGGCATGAGATTGCTTAAACTTCTCCCTACAAGCCATTTTTGCAATGAACATTGTCCCCATCCCCCATTCTTCTTGCAGAATAAATTTTCTCTCTATATTTTGGTCACACAGGTGGGAGAGCAGTTGAAGTGGGACAGGATTTTGATAGCAAACATTTCCAGATGAGACATTAAGGCTGTGAAAATCCTTCAAAAGAAAGTTGCTCATGACTGATCTTTCTTCAGTCATTAAAGCAGTCATGCTTTTTCCCCCCAGGTTTCTATAGCTTCTTATAAACTGTTTCTGGCTGTCTAAACATGCATGTCCTTGAACCAAGTCCCTGTCTTCCAATCATTAAAACAACCCAGTCTCTTCCCAGGCTTGTATAGCTTCTCTACAAGTGTAAGTGGTCCCACTTACACATGAAGAGACAGCCATACAAAACAGTTGTGCTTGTCAGGGAGTCAAATGGGTTGAAATATTGGATTTCAATTTGGATTGAAATAATTATTTAGTCCTGTTCAAGGTAACTTGGTCCCTAGTTTCAGTACACAGCTTCAGGATTTTTCTATTAATGTGAGACCAACTCTAACCACAATCTGGTATAGCTTTTAAATTGTTCTGCCATCTTGAAGTCCTTAGGTTTGTAGATAGAATGCAATGGGAAGTCAAAAGTACCACCATTGCACCTACTTCCCAAGCCTTTGGGAACAGTTCCTTCTCATTTGCATTCCCCACCACCCAACTCTTGGAGGTCCTCAGGAAGATTTCTACTTGGACTCCAAACTGCTGGCCTGTGGTGCCTCCTATCCTTCAGTTCTGTGATCAGGGCTGCATCAACAAGGACAACATTCTACATTCAACATCAATGAGGACAACATTCTAATATACCAAATACTCTCCAGAATGACTTCTGCAACCTGTAGGAATTGCTCAGATTAAGCACGTTTGCTGATTTTGAATAATGTGTTCTCTTTGTGTTAGTCATGAGTAAGGTTAGTGCATGGCAGCCCTAAGCCTGGGCCCATTTTTCCATGTCACCCTTCCCTCTTGCTTGACAGATTTTACCAGATAATGATGGTAACATTTTGAAATGACAAAATACCATTATTTATCCTCTTTCATGAGAAGCATTACACTATTCTCTATAAACAACTGGAAGCTTGAACAGATACAACTGGCTCTACAAAATAAATAAAAAAATAAAAATCCCAAACTTACTTTTCCTCATTCATTGATATAGCTGCAAAACATGTTGATTGCTCTGCAATTCCAGTTATTGATGCAACATTTTACATCATTTTGCTTGTTTTTCACAGCATTAGCAGCAATGAATGGCTAAAGTATCCCAGATCATATATGTCTAATTGCATATACATTTGTCTGCATGCACATTTCAATTTACTTCTGGGCATAATGTTTGTTAATTGTACTTCTTTTGTACCCTGGTGGAGGAAAAAAAAGCTTCTTACTCATAAAGGGGCTAAGTGTTCTCTTCTTTCTCTTTGTTCACACAAGGAGCTGAAGTCACTTCAAGAGGCACTTAATCCCATCATCCATGGTTACAATTGCCTTATAGCTTTAGTCAAAAAGAACCTGAAGTAAATGCAGCTATATTGTGTAATTAAAAGAAATTCAGGTAGTTATTTGCCTGGGGCATGTTCTTGGTACTAATACATAAAATGGCACTCCAGGGATCCTAAATACTGTAGTGTTTTAAATCTGGTCAGCTACAATATCATATAGATCAAAAGGAGGAAAATGCAAAAAAGAAGAAGAAGAAGAAGAGAGCGAGAGAGAGAGAGAGAGAGAGAGAAGGAGAAGAAGGGGGGGGGTAAGAGTCCAAAAGGCCCTTTCTCCTAGTGTGTATTGTAAAGCAAAAGAATAGAGGAGGGTGTTCTACCGTTTGAAGTGACATGAACCTACAAACATCTATATGAAAGGGAAATAAAAATATCAAGAACAGCAAAGAGCTGATGTTTTAAAGAAGACCTCAGTGACTTCCAATCATCAAAAACTATGTAACATAAAGATGAATAATCTCTGACGCTTTTATTTAGAATACGACTTTTTTATTTTTGAAATGAAGGAACTATTATCTTATGAAGAACTTAGAAAAGCATCTCTTCTTGTCTGTGTAAATTTACTTAGAACACTAATCCTGAAAGAAATTTTCTTGAATACTTCCCACTATTTTTAACCGCTAATTTCAAGGCCATATATGGCTGGACTACAAATGAATGAATTCACATAATTCACACTAAGTGTTTTTCAGAAGTTGATTCAAGTAATTACAAGGAAGAGTAAATTCCTCAAGGGCAATTCAGAATTAAGCTGAAAGAGAATCATGCCAGCCTAGATATCCAACACATTTTATATATTGTTTTCTTATACAAGTAAGGAATTTACCTTGATGCTCTTTGGAAAAAAACCAGCAAAATCACTGAATGTGCAATATTTAGGTTGCTTGATAGATCCACAAATGGTTCTGAAAGCTTTTAAACCAGAGTTTTTAAAGCAGCAAGACTTTGGAAACAAAAATTTCTATTCTTCATATAAGCTCCAATTTTGATCACATTCAACTCTGTATAAAGATTCATTCTAAAGAAGGTGGGGAGAAACCAGGTTGAGTCTACTGTGAGTCAAATCAGCACTAAGGACAGTGTCTCCATTT